TTGTTTTCTTATACATTGATCTTGTTGCTCTGTCATTACATGTTCCTATACATATTATAGTGTTGGATACACAATACCCAAATGCACTTCTTAAAAAAGATTTTTGTAATTGAGGTATAATTGACATGTATTAGTTTCAGATGTATAACGTAAAAATACTGTAGAGTGCTGTGGGAGATTATATAGGAAGGTTCGGAGCATCAGACAGATGGGAGGAGTCAGGAGAAAACTTCATACTGAATATAGTTTGTAGTGCTGATTTTTTGGTCTTAAACTGGGACTAGGAACTAGTAAACGTCCAAACTTGATATCGTACCCCTTTAATCTCTCAGGATGTCCGGGTAGGATCTGCCTCTTAATACTGCTCTGAGGCTTGACTCCTGTTCATAAGTTTGGAACAGGACTGGTAAGGAAGACCCTGACTGCTGCTGGCTGAGCTGGGTCCTGCCCCTTTCTTACTGAGAATAGACAAGCAGTCTGTATCTCTGCAGAAAAGATTTTATTATCATATGGCTTACATAGATGAACATTCCTGATAACCTAGTTATTGTGATAAGAATGGCTCACGATCAACTAGTCTCAGACCCCAGTTAGAGCTTTAGGCTGATATCTTCTCACAGTTAATTGGCTTTTGTATACCTGAGGTATATTTTGCAAATTTGTCATGGAGGAACTCCTAAAAAGTTGGATAAGATTTAACACAGAGGCAAGAATAAAGCAAATGGAATATTAGATGTTTAGTATTTTATTATACTGTAGTCATGTAAAAACTCACCCTGTAATTATAATTACAGGAGACTAAGGAAGTACCTTTACACAATGACTTTCTGGGATTTGTCTTGGTGTGTCACTTTGTATCCTATGGTGTAATAATTGGGAACACCTTACCTAACCTAACAGCTGTCTGAAGGCGGTTGTTTGGGATATGTTGGACTATTTTATGTCTTACTAAATTCTAGGAAATCATACCAGTAGGCTCTGTTTTCATCCTTATATGGATTCTTTTCAGTTGTGGGATATATGAAATTTTGTATTAACCAGTTGGAGAGGGAAAAATCCCTTAGAGACCTTCATACCAATTTAGGTTTGACCCTTTTTTTTTAAACTTTTTATTTTGAAATAATTATAGATTCACAGGAACTTGCAAAACAAAACATACAGGGAGCTCCTCTGCACTTTGTGTATGTGTGTGGGACCTGTGTAGCTTCCTAGAGTCACCACCACAGCTGGTCCAGAACCATCCTATCACCACAGGGTTCCCTCATGCCACCCCTTTACAGCCACACCTTTCCCCTCTCCCCTGGCCACCACTATTTAGTTCTCCAGCTTTGTAGTTTGTTATTTGAAGAATGCTATATAAATGGAATCATGGGGGTGCCTGGGTGGAGCAGTTAAGCCACTGACTCTTGGTTTCAGCTCAGGTCGTGATCTTGGGGTCGTGAGATCGAGCCCTGAGTGGGGCTCCACACTCAGCACAGAGAATGCTTGGGATTCTCTCTCCCTCACCCTCTGCCCCTCCCCACCCAAAATAAATAAATAAATAAATCTTTAAAAACCTAAATAAATGGAATCATGTAGAATGTAACCTTTGAGTTTTGGATTTTTTTCACTGCATAATTTGGACATTCATCTACATTGTTGCATATGTGAAGTTTGCTCCTTTTTACTGCTAAGTAGTATTCCATGGTATGGATGTAGCACAGTTTGCTTAACCAAAGAGGGACATCTGCCTGGTGTCCAGATTCCAGAGCTGTTATGAATAAAACTGTTATGAACATTCATGTGTCGGTTTTTGCACAGACATGTTTTCATTTCTCCTGGTCGTATGCAGAATGTGGGAATGCGGTTGCTGGGTCATACAGCAGTGGTGTGTTTAGTTTTTAAGAAATTGCTTGATTGTTCTTCAGAGTGGTGTACCACTGACTTCTGTTTGATGAAAATATTTTGTAGCCTGGGTGGTTCAGTCGGTTAAGCATCCCGACTCTTGGTTTCGGCTCAGGTCATGATCTCAGGGTTGTGGGATTGAGCCCCGCGTTGGGCTCCACGCTCAGTGGGGAGTCTGCTTGAGGTTCTCTCTCTCCGTCTGAGCCTCCCCCGACTCATGCTTTCTTTCTCACTCTCTAAATAAATAGAATCTTTTTTAAAAACGAAAATATTGGGGCGCCTGGGTGGCTCAGGTCTATCCCAGGGTCCTGGGATCGAGCCCCGCATCGGGCTCCCTGCTCGGCGGGAGGCCTGCTTCTCCCTCTCCCGCTCCCCCTGCTTGTGTTCCCTCTCTCGCTGTGTCTCTCTCTGTCAAGTAAATAAATAAAATCTTTAAAAAAAAAAAAAAGAAAAGAAAATATTTTGTAGGATAACATTTTTATTTTTATTTTATTTTTTTTTAAAGATTTATTTATTTGAGAGAGAGAGAATGAGAGAGAGCAAGCACATGAGAGGGGGGAGGGTCAGAGGGAGAAGCAGACTCCCTGCTGAGCAGGGAGCCCAACGTGGGACTCGATCCCGGGACTCCAGGATCATGACCCGAGCCGAAGGCAGTCGCTTAACCGACTGAGCCACCCAGGCGCCCCTAGGATAACATTTTTTTTTTTTTAAGATTTTATTTATTTATTTGAGAGAAAATGAGACAGAGAGAGCATGAGAGGAGGGAGGGTCAGGGGGAGAAGCAGACTCCCCGCCGAGCAGGGAGCCTGACGCGGGACTCGATCCCGGGACTCCAGGATCATGACCTGAGCCGAAGGCAGTCGCTTAACCGACTGAGCCACCCAGCCCTAGGATAACATTTTTATAATACGCAACGTATCTGCTGATTTTGGTAGCACACTTGTTGTCATTAGTATATCTGGTTGCTTCTACTGATCTGAGGGGCAAAATGGCATTTCCCGATAGGCTTTGATTTAGGTCACCAGTCATTTTGATGGTCTTAATGCTTGAAGGAAACTCCCTTGGCTTTCACAAAACCCACACTAACTGCCCAAGTGAACCTCTCTTCTCTCTCTTCCTATTTCTAGAGAAGAGTTAGCCCCAGACCTGGGCTCTGAATCCTATCTATAGAGAGCCTCTTTTCTCCTTGTCTTAGACCGACCCATCTTATTGGTTTCTGCCTAAGTATTTAATCATGCTCAGTTCTCTCCCATCTTGAAATTCCCTTCCCTTTGACCTCGTCCACTGCTCCCCTATCTGGCCACTCTTCCCACGCTATACCTCTTGACTCTCCCGACTCTCTCCCGTTGCTTTGTCTTCCCCTCACTTCCCACCATACAGTACTGTAATCTCAGCCTCCCTGGGTGACTACATTGACATGGGCTTGCTGATGTCACCGGCAGCCGCCTTGTAGCTCAGTCTCATGTCAGTGTCTCTGTGTTGTTCTTACCCGACCTCTGAGTAGCATTCATTACCCGTGCTTACTTTCTCTTGGTAGGAATACTTTTTCCTTGGCCTGCTACCTCCTTGGACTGCTGCTCCTAATTGTCCTTTGCTGATGTCACCCCCTCTGCACATCCCTTAAATCTTGGGTTTGCTCAGAGTTCTGCAGCTTTCCTCATTCTGGGTGATCTCACTGGCCGATGCCCACGTCTTCATCTCCACCCTAGACCTCTCCCCTGAGCTGCAGACCTGTATATCCTTTTGCCCCCTAGACACCTCCCTTAACTCTTTTGCAACCCCCTCATACACATTTAAAACAATGTATTCTCTTCCCAGCATCCTTGCCTCTTAAAAAAAAAAAAAGACAAAAGAACCCCGACTCTTTTTCCTGCAGTGGGGCCCCAGTATATTAATACCTTACATACAACAGTGGGAGTGCTGTTAAATCCCACTTGCATTTAATTGAGTTGCCGAATCCACCGGACCTTACCATTGTGCATTCAGTGCACGGCATTCTGACCCATGCCTGTCTGAGCACTTTTGCCTCTGCCATCAGTTGACTTGGGTTATTCCCACTACTACCAATTATACTTTTTATGGTCAGACATTTAATTAAATATCACACAGACTGAAATTGAGTGGGAAAAGGAATTGTTTTTGTGAAAACTAAGTTGAATGCTTTGGAAAGTCCAGAAAATAAATTACTAAAATATTTGCTGCGGAATTAAGTGAGAGCAAGATAACTGTAAAGGGCTAGTAAAACTAGTCCAAATCTAGAAGGATTCTGCCCTCCGCTTCTCTAGTGTCCAAGGTCTTGCTCCACTTCAACTAAACATTAGTCTGCAAGTGGTAATTATAGATGATGAAAGTGATTAGTGCAGAAAACATGACGTGGAATTCCAATCAGTAGGCTCAAACCCAGAGAAAAGCCCTATTTCCAAAGATTGGTGAATAAACATGCCTTTTTGCTTTAAGTTAAAATAAAGCGTTCACGTCTGTTATCTTGTTTCCTACTCTATTTGTATTGGTCCTGACAAAGGGCTTCTGCCGCTTCTTGCCTCTCGCAGTGATTGCAGGAACTGTTCTCCATCACCACTCCCCAGCTCACTGTCTTCCCCTGGTTTCTTCCACAAAGCTTCCCAGCTGGAAGCCTGAATGTTCGCCCCTTTGCTTTAAAACCCTTAGAACCCAGATTTTTTTAAACTAGTAAGCGAGGACATTTAGATCTAGCCTCCGCTTACCTCTCTAGTCTCGTCTCATCCTTTTCGTGCTGCCATCCCCTTCCTTCACACTGGGTGCTTGAACCATGTTGACTGAACCCGCTCTCTCGGCTCAGTGGGGGTGGGGGGATCTCTGCGTGCCTTGGGGTGGGAGGGTGCCAGCAACACCCTGTAATTCCTGGCACCCTGTAATTCCCCCAAGTCTAGCATTTAGCACTGGGTAGTTAATTATTTGTGTACTCGGATTCCCTTGCAGGCAACCAGATTGTGAAGTTCTGTGGAGATGGGGTCCATTCAGTAATCGTGTTTGCCACAGTCTCTACTCTCCAGAGAGTGGAGTGAACAGATGGGTTTTCTGAGTACTGTTGGTTTCCCTGGAAGGCACTTGAGTAAGCAGCTTTGTTTCTTTTGTAGTTGCTGTCCCTGCTGGCCTTTGTCTGTGAGGAGGTCGTGTCACAATGTACACTGTGTGGAGGACTTTACTTTTTCGAATTCGTAAGCTGCAGTGCCTTTCTTCTGAGTCTCCTCATCCTGATTGTGTACTGCACTCCCGTTTATGACCAAGTCGATTCTACCAAAGTCAAGCAGTCGGTAAGCGTGAGAAAAACAGAATCCCTTTACGAAGAACGTGGCTCCTTTGGAATCTCGCGTAGTTTTGTTCTTCAGAACGGTGCTGCTTTCAAAACTCCGTAGCTCGAGAAGACGCTCCCCATGGTTCCAGTTCTGCCCCTGAGCAACTCCATTTTCCCTGCCAAGCAGGGTGGGAGAGGGGGAAAGGGAAATCAGAAAGGGGAAAGGGGGAGACAGACTCGGCCAAGGGTTTACAACTAATTGGTTTGATCTCATTCACACGAGGTATTTGTTTTTCTTTTTTTCTTTTTTAAACACGTATTTTTTAAAAACTAGGATTTGCGTCACTCTTGGGTTCTACAGTTGTCCCTTGTGTACCTGCCGTGCGCCGGGCATTAGGCTCGACGTTAGAGAGAGTGATAAACTCATGTGAGGTATTTCTGGAGCTTCTCAAATAAAGCACCACATCATGCTGCCTATTTTGTTTTGATTTTGATATTGTGAAAGAAGTTATCAGTGAGTGAATTAAGGCACTTGTTGAATTCACTGTTCAGAAATTTCCCTTTTAATGAAAGCACACATGAGAATTTTATTTTCACAGAATCAGTGATGCATAACTTTCTAAAGACAGTCTGCTGGTGCATGTTTTTGAGTATAGTGTGGATTTGTGAGATGACACATGATTCACATGTTTACTGCACTTGAGAAAGAATTGAGCAGTTTCCTTCTTCAGTAGTGTTGGAACTAAGCTAATAGTGGTTTGTGACAAGTACATGTCAGCGTTGACATATAAAAGCATTCACACCTCTGAGGGAAAAGATACAATTAGGGTGAGTTTTTAACTATTAAGAACGGAGGATAACAAGATCAATACAAAGCAGTACGATTCTGTTAATTTTTTATTTTATTTTTATTATTTTTTAATAGATTTTATTTATTTATTTGACAGAGAGAGAGCACAAGTAGGCAGAGTGGTAGACAGAGAAGGAGAAGCAGGCTCCCTGCTGAGTAGGGAGCCTGATGCGGGGCTCGATCCCAGGACCCTGGGATCATGACCTGAGCCGAAGGCAGACGCTTAACGACTGAGCCACCCAGGCGCCCCTAATTTTTTAAATTAATGCAAAGTAAGCATCGGGTCAGATATTAATATACACCTAAGAGATTTACTTTTTTCTATATACACTTTGGTGCCTTTTAAGTCTGGTGCTCTAAGAATCCATTACCTTCTTTTAACAGAATATTTTAAGTTTAAAAATTAAAAAGCAAAAAAAATTGATACCACAACAGTTAAAAAAATAACTTTGAAAACCAGATTGGAGCTGAATCACATCCACCAAGCCTTTTGATGAGCACATACATGCAGCTCTTGGTATGGCCGATACAGGACTGGCCCATTACCCTTCCTGATAATAGTTGCTGTCAGCACGGACTTGCGCCCGACACTTCATGCACTGTGATTCAGAATCCTCACACCATAATGCTCCATTTTCCTGTTGAGGAAATTTGGGTTCAGAGTGGTTACATACCTTGTCCAAAGTTACACAGCTAGGGTAAAAATAAACTGAGACTGGAACCCAGGAAAGCCCTCAACACTCTGCATTCCATTCTCTGGCCTCCCCCGAATCCTGCCTACCAACCAGCGCCCTACCAACTTTTGATGCTCTTGTGGCAAATGTTATCACCTCAGGGATCTCCCTATAATGATGGCAACAGCAGAACCCATTTATTGTATGGAATGCATATTAAGAGGATGCAGAGAATACCTTAGAATTTTTGTTAATTTTATTTGTAATCTTTGTCAATCCTTCCTTTTTACAGAGAGGTATTCGGTAAGATTTTTGGATGAGTGAAAAGTTTAGTAGTATATTTGAGCTGATTGATTTGTAGTTCCAGTGTATAAATTTATATTTTAAGCATTAAAGATCGAAATTATTTTTTCTTTTCCTATCTCTCAATGGCAAAACAGTATCACCGTCCATATTTTAGAAAGGTTTAGTCTTTAGTGTTGCATCTGTAATGTTTAAGAACATTGATCTTTTTGACAAGAAAACATTGATCTTTTTGACAAGAAACAATATTTTCCGGTTTAATGGTTTAACTAAACTAAACTAAATGTAAAACATTTATTACATCAGAGGAGCATTTAAAAGTAATTAAAAAAAAAAACATTATTTTAGAGTAAGTACTGATCTTAAAATATTGGAGGGGGGAATAAATCAGTCATTTCATCCTAAAACAGCTTTTGTAAATATTTTACTATATCTCTTTTGGGTCTTTTTTGTCTATTCATAGGTGATTTAAGAGTCATATATGCTGTACTTTCCACCTAACATAAGGATTTCATGTTTGTTTAAAAGGTTTAAAAATCACTTTTACTCTCAACTTACTAATGTACTTACATACTTTTTAATGTCAGAGAAGTTTTCTGTTTTACAGAGAATGTTTTGAGAGGGTGGTGGTGGTGGTAATGCCTAGGGAGTGGGAGGAATAAGCTTTTTGAAGGGAGAATCTTTTCTGTTCCGTGCTGTTGGGGCTCAGATTCTGTCAAGAGTAACAACAGCCAACACTTACGGGACATTTACTGTGTGCCTGGCACTGATCTAAGCACTTTCTACCAATTAACTCTAATCTTTAGAATCACCTCTGAAGAAGATACTATTACTACTCCCATTTTGCAAATGAAACTAAGGAAGACAGATGTTAAGTAACGAATTCAAAGTCGTAGAGCCAAGAAGTAGCATGACTGGGATTTGAACTCGGTCTGGTTCTAGAATCCATGTTTCTTGAACACCACATTAGTCTGCCTCAAAATGGTTGTCTTGTTTAATACCTCCTTGAATGTACTCCAGATATTAGTAAATGGAGTTTTATTTGTATGTCACAGATATGAAATAATATTCAAAGGAACAGGAAAAACAGAATATTGCAGAAAAACCATCTCTTTTAGAAGCAAAGAGAAAATCTCTTACTTTGTTTTATAAATGTTAAGTGTATAATTGACAGTATAGGAATTCTGTATTGGATGGGTTATTGATATTAGGTTTAGTGGAGACTGCACTTCAGAAAACCCCGAAAGTATCAGACTTAAAACCCTTTGGAATGGCCATCATTTTACCAGTTTCTCCTCTGAGTCAAGTGTGCATGTCAAGCACTGGTTTCACTTGGCATCTGAGAGGAGCCATACAAGAGTGTGCCTGAGAGAACCCTTGGAAACCCAAGGAGAACTTCATGTCATGAACTGCATTATGAGGAGATACGGAAGCTTTTGTAGAGTAGATAAACTCATGATACAAGCTCATTTTGGGTTACTCACTTGGAACAATTGGAAGCAATATGTTATTGCAGAAAGCTTAAGTGTCTAGAAAACATACTGTTGGCATATTTTATGTAGTTAATGACGGGTGGTTCTTCTGATGCTCTCTTTTCCAGAGTGCTTTCAAAGCACTGAAGTACCCTCAGAGAGGCCATCCTAGCATAGAATACAGATCTTCCTCGACTTACAGTGGGGTTATTACATCCCAATAAACCCGTCATAAGTTGAAAAGACCCTGAGTCAAAAGTGCATTAATACACTTAGCCTCCTAAACATCATCGCTTAGCCTCGCCTACCTTCAGTGTGCTCGGAACGCTTACATCAGCCTGCAGTTGGGCAACATCATCTACCACAAAGGCTGTTCGATAGTAAAGTGTTGATTCATGTAATTGGATACTATACTGAAAGTGACCAACAAAATGGTCGTGTGGGTACAGAAGGGTTGTCCGCGTACCTGTCGTTCACCCTCGTGATTGGTGGCTGACCCGGAGCTGCTCCCACTGCACAGCATCACAATGGAAGATCGTCCCACACAGCGCTAGCCTGAGACAGCATCCAGACTCACAGTCTGAAGTACAGTTTCTCCTGAACATGGAACATTTTTGCAACATTTAAAGTGAAAAATCATAAGTGCAACCATTGTAAGCCAGGGGCCATCTGTACTTTGAAAGGAAAGGAAAATTTTTTTGCTTCTAGTTTTTGGGGTTTTTTTTGGCTGGCAGTAAGATGATTTAATAAACCTTTGGCTTTGATAATTTAATATGTCCTTGAGAAAAAGACACACACACACACACAACCTTTTGGGGAGCTGCTCTTATTAAAAGATTATCTTGTGGTGTACTTTGAATATGCCCTGTGCAAAGAGTGGATAGTGTTCCTTTATAGGGAGGTTAGTGAATGCCTGATTTATGGAAAAGTTAGGAGCTGAAGTATGTAGGTTTGGGCTGTATGAAGAAAAAACTGTGTCACAAAGGTTTTTAAAACTAAAAAACAAAAGTATTTGTTTCATCAACCTAACCATGTTCTTTATGCACACGTTACAGGATTTTTATATTACTATGGGAACAGGATGCGTGTTTTTGTTGGCATCCATCATTTTCGTTTCCACACATGACAGGACCAAAGCTGAGATTGCTGCAACTGTGAGTACCTTGTATTTCGAACCCTTGCTTAGTTTTGTTTCCTTAGAAATATGGAACTTGGAAAGTACTTGACAAGTGATACAATATGGGAGAGTAGTTTATCTTGTAATTTTTTAGTAATTTTGAACAGAGGACCTAAGAGCAAATAAATAGGATAGCCTTAGAAACCGAGAACCTGTCTTTAGACTTTAGAATAAAAGCCCATTTACTCCACATATGAACGTGTCACTGCTAATGGAAGTGATAGAATTGACTTTATTATCCCGTACTTTTCTACTTTGCAGTCCAGCAAAAATATACCTACATGCCAGGTGCTGTTCTAGGTGTAGAGAATACACAGGAGAAATGATCCAAGGGTTCAGCCTTTATAATAAAAGAGATAGATAAGTAAATGTCTTTATCTGAAATCCTTGGGGAGGGGGCAGTTTTGTTTTGTTTAGAATTCAGAATATTCTGGTTTTTAGAAAGATAATCTTGCACATATCATATCTCAACTTCAGAGGCCCTGGGGCAGCACCCTATAATCCAACATGTTAATATTTCTGAAGCATGAATATTCACAGTAAAAAGGATAAAGACTGTAAGTAGTTTTACTTCGTGCCACTTTTGAGCCCAGTAAATTATGAAAACTACTTTTGTAGCTTTCTGGATTTGAGAATTACAAATCAAGGATCATGCACCTGAATTGGTACCAGTGTTGTGAACGTGAATAACTGATAACTGAGTAACAAATCCTCTTGCACGTCAGCTGGGTTCCAATTAATCCTTGGTTCATGACAAAACTGAAGTTATAATTAATTGACTTGTCAGCTAGTAGATCATTAAAACTACTTTTAATTACAGAACAACTCAAAAGGAGTTCAGAGCCTTGCATGGTTCTACCTACCTGTTCATGTGAGCACAGTTTATTAGCACACATGTAAAACATGTAAAACAAAACAGAAATTAAATTAATGCTGAACCTCGACTCATTCCAGCAATAAGTAATATTTCTGCATGGGCACATGAACCAATGGGTACATGAAGAGAAATGTCAAAGTTTTAATAGACCCTTCGGTTAATTTCAGTTTATATACATATTTTTGTTGCGGAGGAGTATTAATAAGGGTGATCAGTAAAATGTTTTGCAGTGTGGAAATGTATTACTATAAAATCCTTGGAGGGGGCCACCTGGTTGGCTCAATCGGATGAGCGGCTGACTCTTGGTTTCGGCTCAGCTCATGATCTCAGGGTTGTGAGATTGAGCCCTTGCCTTGGGCTCTGCGCACAGCGGGGAGTCTGCTTGAGACTCTCTCCCTCTCCCTCTGCTCCTTCCCCCAGCTTGCTTGCTCTGTCTCTCTCTAAAATAAATAAATAAATAAATCTTTAAAAAATAAAATAAAATCCTTGGAGGAAGTGAAATAGAGTTGAGGAAAGTTGAGTTGAAGGGGGAAAGAGAGCATGGCATGAAATTACCAGCTATTAAAACAGAGCTTATTGGTGTGTGACGATAAGGTGATGTGTTAGATTAGTGCAGTATTTAGATTTCATTGGATATATTTAAGAGTTAATGGTCGTTTAAAAACTCAGTATTTATAATATGCTGGAAATTACCTTTTGTAACTATTTAAATTATGAAAGAATTTACAGACTTGAGGGAGGGAATCCATTTAAAAAAAAATTGTGAAGTATGTGAGCAAAAGCTCTGGAAGATCATTTGTCTGGATGATATGGCGTAGAGGGCGCTGCTTGGACTAAAGCTCTCAAGGGGGTTAGGGATGACTTCACAGACAGGGTGACATCTGGTCTGTCCTTAGAGCATGTAATATGTTTGCCGGGCAAATAAAGGGATAGATGCCATCAAGCCAAAATGAAGACTCCAGAGGGGAGAAGTGACTTGGGTTTGGAGATGTGGGATTGATAATTTAAATGGAGGTTGGATGTGTTGGGGCTATGGGGGTGAAATCATGAATTTGAAGTTGAGTTTGCTTTACAGTGAGATGAGGCAGAAAGCATATTCTTTAGGATAGAGGAGCTGGGTGTGAAGGGTCAAGAAACTGGAGCAGACGACAACAAAATGTTAAAAATCTAAACAGGGGCACCTGTGTGGCTCAGTCTGATAAGTGTCTGCCTTCGGCTCAGGTCATGATCCCGGGGTCCTGGGATCGAGCCCCCCATCGGGCTCCCTGCTCAGCGGGGAGTCTGCTTCTCCCTCTGCCTCTGCCTCTGCCTGCCGCTCTCCCTGCTTGTGCTTGCTCTTTCCCCTTCTTCTGTCTGTGTAAAGTAAATGTTTAAAAAAAAATCTAGAACAAACTGCTGGTTACCAGAGGGGAGGTGGGTGGGGGGATGGGTAAATAGGTGATGGGGATGAAGGAGTGACTTGTGATGAGCACAGGGTGATGTATGGAGGTGCTGAATCACTGTATTGTACACCTGAAACTAATATTATGCTGTATGTTAACTAACTGGAATATAAATAAAAACAAACAATAATAAAAATCATGGAGAGATGGGGTGTTAGAGGTGGAAGGGACTTTAGCCATTACCTACATAATTTTCTCTTTTAACAGAGCAGTTCTTTGGCCCCCATTCCTTTAAGGCTTTTGCTAGTGAAGATCTCTTCTTGACAGAATTCTCAGAATGTTTGATCATATGTTAGAAGAGTACAATGAGGAAGTGATTTAAAGGAAGAGGAAGTAGGTAGTGGTGTCATGTTGCTGTGTCATTATTACAGTGTGACAGTTAACTGGAAAATATTTTTTAGGTAATTTAACCTAAAAGTATCTTCAAAATAGAATTTCTGTTGATCAGTCAATGGATATTGATTACTTCTTGCCATTGTCACCTGCGCTCAGCTCCCTACTCACTCATTTCCCTTACCCTCTCTGTGGGTCAGTCTAACCATTGCTAATAATCTTGTGTTTTGTATCATTTTATAAGATTTTGGTTTTCCTCTATTAACCTTAGTTTCACAGATTGGCACCCCACACGTACACGTGCATACACACACGTAAGACAGGACATCTCTGTTTTGGGAAACTTCAACTAATAGCCATTAGTCTAGAATTTCTTTTTGTAACATCTATTTTTTTGATGCCCTTAAAAAGTCTTTTATTACTAAGGTTAAGAATAATGTATATAAGATAGGGGCGCCTGGGTGGCTCGGTCAGTTAAGCACCTGCCTTCGGCTCAGGTCATGATCCCAGGGTCCTGGGATCGAGCCCCACATCAGGCTCCCTGGTCCGTGGGGCGTCTGTTTCTCCCTCTGCCCCTCCCCCTACTCGGGCTCTCTCTCTCTCTCTCTCTCTCTCTCTCTCTCCTTCCCTGCCCCTCCCCCCTGCTCATGCTCACTCGCTCGCGTGCTCTCTCTCTACACTCTCTCTCTCAAATAAATAAATAAAATCTTTAAAAAAAAAAAAGACGAATGTGGATTAAATTGATGAAACATCTTGCTTGTATAAAACACTACCAGAGCCAACTAGGAAATGTGAGATTATATTCCAAATCTGTCATATAAACCCTTGTTCTTTTTTCTCCTCAGGTGTTTGGATTTCTAGCAAGTATTATGTTCCTGTCTGACGTTGTCATTATGTTCTGTGAGAGACGACAGGAGTCCCAGATGAGGAAACCAGAGGCTACCAGGAGGTCAGGGCCCCTCACAGAACCCCTTAATGCTTAAGGACTTTGGGGACTACATGTTACATAAGGTATTGACTGTGCCTGAGCCCTGGCCGCTTGTGTAGAATTTGTGTAATTGTTAAGCCACTTCTTTTGGAGAGCAAGGGGAAGGGCAGGAAGGCAGTTTTATTAACATTGGCCTCTGTGTCAGTCACCACAAATTAGGCCAGAGAGTTTTGGGGCTTAAAAAAATTTTTTTTAAATAACAGTTAAAACTTCTGTCACATGAAATGGTTCTGTTTTTGTTTTGGAGGCGAGGACAGTTGTTTCTTTAAATCACATAGCTCAACTGATGATAATTTATTCTGTTGTCGTTACTAGGCCTAGCTTTCAAATTAAGGCTGCACAGCCAGCATGATTAAGTTCATCCATTTAGAAATTGTTTCATTTTTAAATTAATTTGCTTAGCCAGGATTTTTTTTTTTTTTGATGATGATCAGATAAAATTTAATGTATATTTAAGAGATCACTATTTAAAATATTGGTCTAGATTTTTTTCCCGTAAAAATGTAATACCCAGGCTTTACTGTATCTCAGCCTTAAAATTATATTGTTACATTTTAGGATAATAACTCTTTCTGAGACCTTTTATAGCCTGATAGAAACTGTATGGGAGGTGTTGGTATTTTATATGTATAAAAGCAACAACATCAGAAACCACATGTTTTTACTGCACTTTGGTGGTTGTTGATAAGCAAAAAAAAAGTTTATATAACACACAGAAAAATGGAAGAAACTCTCATGGCTAAGGACCAAAGATAAAGAAGATACACTTTTTGCACAATACAGTGAAAGTAATTATAAAAACAGGCTTCAACCACCTACCACTGTCTGAAGAGATAAGTTCATACTATGAGTTAGAAATTGGTCCATTCCCTTACTGGCATATGGTTATTTCTACTGAAGTTAATACAGCTCTGCAGGTCCCATTCAGAGTTTTCTTTTAAGCCTCCCCTCTTTTTAAAACCCCAGCCTTTGATTTTTCATCTATTTGAGATTCTCCCTTTTCTGTCTCTTTATCCACATGGTCCATACACTGCTTCATCACCCGACAGAGGTGAGCCTCTAGCTGTGACTCTTGCTTGATGGCAGTGGTCTTTAGGTGGTCCAAAATTTGGGGCCCTTTTAATTGCATAGAATATGTAGCAGGATCTTTAGGGTTCTTGTTCCCACATTGTGCATTACTCTAACTTCTCTTTGGGGGAGCCCTTCTTAAGAAAGTGAGCATCTAGCAAATCCTGCCCAGGTTAATACTGATGATGGTGTAAGGGAGTAGTCTACCCACTCTCAAGAGACACTTCCTAACTAGTTCTGATAATTTGGGAGCATTGTCTCTTGCTGGCAGGTTGTCTTAGACCCAGCCAGACAAGGCACTCAAGACAGGACCTTTCTGACCAAGTGGTTCACAGAGTAGACCTCTCTTGTCCTCCTCTTGGATTTTTGACTCAGGACTCTAGAGTTAAGGCAATGAGCCCATGCGTCAGGTACTTCAGGACTTTGGTGGAGGTCTCCTGGGCTAGCTGGGCTGGGTTATCTATTGGAAGGAGTGGAATTATGTTTCCAGTGAGACAATTTAGTGACCGTGTCCTTTTTAAATTTCTCATTTATGTGTGGTCGATGTGGCGAATGTGGTGGTCAGAATTCATTATGGCCAAACACAGCTTCTCCTGTCTTTGCTGACTCAGGACCTTATCCCTTTGTACCAGAGCTCGGGTGCTAGCTAGTTCTGGTGGGTAGTCACCACTGCCTCCTCCCTGGGAGATAATGAAACCGATTACTGATGCTGTCGTTACTGGGCATACCATCCAAGAGAGGAGAAATAGCCTGGGTCTGGGCTCCAAGAATAGAGTGGTGCAAAAATAACTCACTTCTGGTCGGCAGGTTCTGGAATTTCCCATCTAACTGTACCACTGTCATTTGAAATACCATCGAGACCCAGCTGGGTTTCGCAGCAAATGGTCTGGGCTACCTCAGGGGCCTCCCGCGCGCATGGATTTAGTTGAGGTTGATGGACATGTCCCCGCCGGCCTCACACATGGAGCGCATTGACATTGAACTTCAGCTCTGCTTGTTCTGAGGCTTTGCTTCCATTTGTTTGATTGGAGCACAAGTGAGCCTCATAGCTGCCACTTAATCCTTCCCTTTTCGGGAAGATCATATATTCACTAGTACTTTTGGTCACTCCAGAACTTCTCTTCATATTGTTTGTTATGGGACCCATGACTGATTAGCCTCCCTCTTCTGTTGTAGAAGGAATGAGAGGGAAAAGACCATGTGGAAAATAAAAAGGGACCAAAACCCCTCCTATGTCCAAAACAGGGCACACTCAATAAACTGAAAGTTATAATTTTTTATTAACAGCCATGTTAGACTTAATTTGTTATATTTTGTACAAATAAACTGTTTAGAGTGGTTCTTAAAAATTATAAGGGAAATGCACATACAGTATAAAAATTTTCTAATTGCTGTACTTAAATTATGTTCTGTTTGGGGACTGGGAAATGTATTTTTACATTGTTTATAGCCAATCGCTTTTGTATTTATCAATTTAAATCCTGTGTGTCTTTTTTTTTTTTTTATCTTGCTCAATGTCAAATTTTGTAGTCTTCTTTTTAAATAAATCCATTTTATTGTCTGCCTTTGTAGTTGTTTCATTGTTACTTCAGAAGCCTGATGCTCAGGGTGCCTGGGTGACTCAGTCAGTTAGGCGGCTGCCTTCAGCTCAGGTTATGATCCTGGAGTCCCAGGATCCAGCCCCACGTCAGGCTCCCTGCTCAGCGGGGAGTCTGCTTCTCCCTCTGCCCCTACCCCCTCTCCTGCGCGCGCTTTCTCTCTCTCTCTCTCTCTCTGCCTCAAATAAATAAATAAAATCTTAAAAAAAAAAAAAAAGCCTGATGCTGAGATGAAAACTTTCTCCAGACTTCTAGGAGTTGGCTCTACAATCGTGGTAAGTGCCTGTGTAGAACACTGAACTGGGGGTCCACCCAGGTGTGGGGCACAGGAAGCAAACCCTCTTCCTACCCAGGCGCCGCCCCTCCCGTTGCCAAGACGGAACACACCTTCAAATGGTATTTTTAAGGAGCCATATAGGAAAAGTCACAAAGCAATAAACACCTTGAAATACTTGCAAAGAAGCATATTGGGACTCTCCCATCACATCTCTCAATGTGGCTAAACAATGCTAAAAACAAAATAGGCACATTCTCTTTCAGACTGTCCAGTGACTGGGAAAGTGTGAAGCAAAACCAGGGTGGTTCTGGTAAAGCTGCAATCGTTTGTGTCGTTGCAGAATTCCTGCCTCCGGTCTGAACAAGAACAAGATCTTTATTGTCATCAAGAACTCCCTGGAATTTGTACATTCTTCAGAGTTTTGTGTTTTGTTTCGATAAAGAACATTGTGTATCAACGTGCAGTCAACTTCGAGGAGCAAAAATGTAATTTAAATAGGTCTTAACCAGTAAGGACAATGTCTTTCCTAAGAAGCCCGGGTAGGGCAGTTCTGGGACTGGTCAGAGTTCAGTGACTCAGTGGTATAATCAGGCGCCCAGACTCTTTCCATGTTTTTCTACCCATCCATCTTCTGCTGTGAGTTTTTATCCTTAGGGTTGACCCTTGATGGTGTAGCAAGATGGAGGCAACATGTCCAGACATCGTCCACTTGCACGACAATGTCCAAAGGCCCGAAGGGAAGAGATTGTGTATTTCTCTGTCCCGAAGGTGTTCCTTTTTCCCAGAAGCCCCTCAGTGGACTTCACCTACTTGCCTTCTACTAGAAGACTTTAAATGCCCATTTCTAAATCGCTTACTGACCTGGAGAATGGCATTACTGAAGAAATGGCCTAAAGTAATCCAGATTCCTCTCCTTCGATGGGAACACCCTTGGAAGCATATAGCCTTCCATTACCCGAACAGATTGGTTCTGTAGCAGGAGAAGGGCCACTGGCCTGGGTTTCAACAGTGTCTGTCATAAGCAGGTTGAGGATCGGACCCCAGCTAGGGGAAATAAAATTCCATTTAAGAACATTTCGCAGGCCTGACTACCCCAAAACAATTTAAAATAGAAAAACTAACGGTTTTGATGTCTAGACTAAATTATAGTTGTACAAGTAATGGGTACCATAGAAAATTGGTTTAATAAAAGATGGTAAGTACTGTTCTTTTCCTGAGATCTTCACTTTTAATTGTGGAACTACGTCAAGCACCGGAAGTATGGAAGATCAATACCCTGTGGTAGACACCACCCAGCTTTAGTAGATCTTAACTTTTTACCAGATTTTCTTGAAAGGTCCTTGTTTAAAACAGAAAATGAAGTTTCACTTGTGAAGTACCACCACCTCGAATTTTGCTCTTTTTACTTTTCCAAAGGCAAACACTACCGTGAATTTGGTGGCTGTCTTTCCTGCTTTGTCGTCTGTGCTCTCTATAGAGATGTACCCATAAGCAATGTATAACATGGTATCTATGCTGTAGTTATCCTTTTACAGATGGCTTTCTTCAGTCAGTAGTATTTTGAAATGTATCTGATACGTGCAGCTCTAGTTCATTCATTTTAACTACTCCTTGGAATTCCATTGAATGGATAGGCCACAAATTACTTACCTCTCCTCTGTTGATAGAAAACTTTTTTTTTTTTTTTTTTAGATTTTATTTATTTATTTGACACAGAGAGAGACCCAGCGAGAGAGGGAACACAAACAGGGCGAATGGGAGAGGGAGAAGCAGGCTTCCTTCCAAGCAGGGAGCCCGATGCGGGGCTCGATCCCAGGACCCTGAGATCATGACCTGAGCCGAAGGCAGACGCTTAACGACTGAGCCACCCAGGTGCCCCGATAGAAAGCTTTTAATGTGGTTTATTTTTGACCATTTCAACCAGTGTTGCAGTGAACAAACATTTGAACATCTCACGCATATGTGCAAGAGTTATATATAGAATGTGTACTTAGAAATAAAACTGTTGGGTCACAGTTGGTGTGCAATTCCAACACGGCAAAATATTTCCAAATGGTGTCCAAAGTGGAGACTTCTCCTCAGCAGGGTACGGGGGTGCTTGTTTCATTATTCTTGTCTTGCATTGAGTGTTAGTTCGGCTGAACAGTTCTGAGCTGGGATGGAAGTGGTCTCTCATTTGATTGTACACTCTCCTTATTACTGGTGAGTCTGATCATCTTCTCATTTGGTTGGTGACCCTTTAGGCTTCCCCACATCAAAGAGTTGCTCGTTCATATCCTTTGCCTTTCTTTCACATTGAGGTTTGTTTTTTTTTTTTTAACTCATTTGAGAATTTTTGACATATTATGAATGTTATCCTTTGTTAGTAATAAGCCTTGGAAATATCTTCTCAACATCTGTATATTTTAACTTCACGTCCTTGCTTATTGATTCTTGTTACCTCAAGGTCAGAGATGTTCTCTGCTTTCTAAAATGTTTAAAGATTTGCATTTTATATTTAGTACTTGAATGTACCTTGATTTCTGTTTGTGGTGTGAATACCACATGCCATCTGATTTCTCGTGTTAGCAAGTGACTCTTTGCTCCTCTAAGAGACAGAGTTCCCTCTGTCATTTACCAGGTTTGTGTATATGTGTGGGTCCAGGGCTGGCTTTCTTGGGCTGTTTTTCTATACCTAGGCTAATACCACAGTCTTGATAAAGTGTTAATATCTAATAAGTTCAAAATTATTCTAGGCACTTTTTAAAAAAGATTTTATTTACTTATTTGAGATAGCACGAGCGGGTTGTGTGGGGGCAGAGGGAGAGGGAGAAGCAGACTCCCCACTGCAGCCTGATGTGGGGCTCAATCCCAGGACTCTGGGATCATGACCTGAGCTAAAGGCAGATGCTTAACCAACTGAGCTGCCCAGGCACCCCTATTTTAAAGACTTTTTAAAGAATAGTTATAGGTTTGCAGTAGAATTGAGAGAAAGGATACAGAGGTACTCCACTTTTTACTCTAAAATTTTACGATAGGTTTGGCAAGTTCCATAAAAAGCCCTCATTAACTTTTTCTTGGAATTGCATTGAATTTATAGATTAATTTTGGGGGAAATGATTTATCATTAAACTTCATCATGAACCTAGAATCTCCACTGATTTGGGTCTTTTATTGTTTTTCAGTAAAGTCTGATGGTTTTTTTTTTTTTAAAGATTTTATTTTTTTGACAGAGACACAGCGAGAGAGGGAACACAAGCAAGGGGAGTGGGAGAGGGAGAAGCAGGCCTCCTGCCGAGCAGGGAGCCCGATGAGGGGCTCGATCCCAGGACCCTGGGATCATGACCTGAGCCAAAGGCAGACGCTTAACGATTGAGCCACCCAAGCGCCCAAGTCTGATGGTTTTCTTCATAAAGGTCCTGCACGTCTTTTGTCAGATTTATCCTAGATACTTCATTTCTGCAGGTTTCCAGAATGGGATCTTTATTCTAAAAATTACATATTCTGGTTAGAATAGTGGGATGGGATTGTGATAGATTGTTATTGATCTTGAATCCAGCACTGTTGCTGGCATCTCTTGTTACCTCTGAGAATTTTTGGATTCCTGTAGGATGTCTCACATCCTGGATTTATTTGTGTCCTCGTGTCATTTAACCTGTTCCTCTCTTCCCTGTGTTTCCTCTAACTGAAAGAGAGCTCTAAAGGCTTGCTTAAAATCAGATTAGTCTTTTCCTTTACTTAAGGTTTTCTGGCGGGTGATGCTGTGGACTTCACCAGGCTCTCGAGCAGGCCTGCACTAACTGTACCCTTTGTGGTTGGGGGGCTGACATCGGATCCCTCCCAGCATCAAGGTTCCGATCAACTTTGTAGTTCAAGGTTTCCATCCCTTGACCTTTCTCTACATCTGTTATCAGAAGTTGCAAAATGGTGACTGTCATTCCTGCCACTTTTATTAGCTAAAATTCTTCAGTAATGCTCTTCACACTTGTAGCACACATATTTGACGTTCTAAAAACAACGGTAATCGGTACTCCTACTCATCTCCTGAACGATACTAAGTCCTTAGAAGGAATGTCCATCAGTTCTTCCTGTCTACTGCTACTTCCTGTCTTCTTCCTGTCCACTGTTAATGGCCTAGTAGTTTTTGCTTGATCGTGTTTTAACACCTCCCTCGCCTTCCACGAGTTCGTCTCAGTGCTTTTCTCTAGATGTGGTTGCTTCATATAACCATGGATATAACATAAATATTGTGCCTGTAATTAACTAGTTATGTGTTTCCATGGGGGCCACATTCAATTTATTATGTCATCACTAGCCCAGTCCTGGGTGGCCCAAACACCCGACCATACGGCTAGGCCATTAGTGACAGCCCAGGAGCCGGCATACAGGTGTTCACTAGATCCCAGGGAGGTGAACTCTGGCTAGAAGTCCCACGTGTTCAGCCCATTGCACGGGGTGTCCACAGCTGTGGGCCGTGACCCGTTTACCACCCCTGGATGGCTTTAGCGTTGCAGAGGACCTGCTCGCCTTGGAGGTGGGTGGGCTCTTTCATCACGGATTCTTGTCAGCTGGCTTATTTGGTAGGTGAGACCTTCATTTAACCAGCAGTTCATTAGGGAAAACACTATTTCTGTCTAATGGGTGGGCAACCACCTGTTTGTGAAGATGGTTAAAGGCTCAGGGTTTGGCCCTTCATCAGAAGATCCA